GGTTTTTTAAATTTAGGATACTCGGCGATATACTTTTCTCACATCTAAAATATGGAAAATAATAGAGGCTTTTATACGAGGAAAAAATTGAAATCTTCTGTTTGACAGATGTCAAGTCAGCACAGCACAGGCATACATTTGCCACAGTTCATTTACAGTTCTCATTGTTAATAAATATTTGTGAAATTTAATTAGGATAAATTTTTGTAACAGACGCAGAAACATGACTGGAACGGGCCAAGATTAGGACCGAAGATGGCGGACGAGAACAAGAGAACCTTTACCGAGGATCAGCTTCGTGCTAGCGAGGGCCAACTGAATCTTCAAATGGGATACAATAAGGGTGCCAGCCAGGCTGGTCATGGTGGTTTCGGAAATGTTCGACATATGTAAATTGTTTTTTATAGAAAATAATTAACACACATCTGTATCTTATACGTCTACAACGACTGGTTAGACTATCGAACACGGAGTATGATACAATAAAAACATTGAAATAAGCCGCATTTTTTTAACCGCGCGTATTAAATGTGTGTGTGTGAGAGAATAAAAAAATTACGCTTTTGAAGTATATTTCAAATTCATGAGTTCCGCGTAAAAAATCGCAAATAACATCTACCTATTTTTGTTGTCGTCAATTATTATTTTCAAAAATGAGATCGAACAATTTATGTTGATACTTCTCTCTGTTATAAAAGTAATCTTTTCTTCTACTTTGTCACGGATACATCTCTGTAGTATTTATCATTAACTTTTTATTATCTTTTTCTAGTCGACTTTAGATATCTGTGTTTAACAGTTAATTTATTATATTAATTATATTCTTATTCTTTCTACATCAAATATTAATAATGCAGCGATATTAATTATTAACCCTCTATTTAGTCACGGAAGAATATATTTTTTATATGAATTCATAACAATTGTAGTTTGCATGTAAGTGTAAGTACATACTCTATCATTTCTGATATCGTAAAGGAGCGCTTTATATTTCGTGAAAAATTCTACTTTCCTTTATATATATACTTATACATGATATATTAGCACCTACACAAACAACTTTTATACACGATTACACGCGAGTTTCATGTTAAATACACGGTACTATACAAACACACAAGTAAATATATAATACACACGTATGTCGATTTCAAAATAAAATATTACATTAACGTAA